TCTGTTTAACATTTAAATTTAAAAAAAGCCCAGGATGATGCTTGTTCAGGCCTACAGACTGTGATCGAGCTGAATGCAGTTCACTTAATGGCAACTGGGGTCACTGGTGACTACTGTTTCTGAAAGTTATATAAACTATTCACAACATACAAAGTTGTGGTATAAACATAATCTTTTTGTATATTATTTATCCTTTTTTTAAGTTACTTAAGAGTGCTATTTAATTACATATATTATAGAGTGCACTTTATGTGGATTATCAATAAGAAACACAGTGGGCAGTTATCACCATTTATACCCACAGTGAACCTTCAGTTGGCAAAGTTCAAAACATTTGCCTTTACATTTTTATGTTGTACTTTAATGGGTAATTTCCCATTTTTCTATTTAGGACTAGTTTAACCTCATATTTCTTACCCTTTTAGAGCTCACATGCAGCAGGCTGCAGTAAATCTGCTTTAGAAGGATCAAGGCCTACTAAAAAAAAGGAAGCTTCATCCGTGTAACTCCTGGAAAAAATAGACATTGTGTCTTTTCTCTAAACTTTTAATCTGGATGATTAATTCTTTTCTTCTTTTTTTCAAAACGTATGATAAGTTCCAGTTCCCAAGAGCAGTAATAGCGTTGTCTTTGTCCTACAAGTCCAGAGTCCTATTTGCTATTTGGACGTGAACAAAGTTTGTTTGATTACTAGCCTAATAATGAAACTAGGCCACACCAGAGAGCAGATTGTCCTGATAAACAACAGCTCTCTGTTTTTTAACTGATGACATACATGGTACTAAACCTACTCTGAATAGAAATACAAATAAAAAATAGCAAGATAGACATAATGGACAGACATACATACAATCAGAGAACCATAAAACTGTTACAATGAGTCAGAAGTAGAAACTAGTAGGGTAAGTGTAGGTAAGGTTGGTGTATGGTTGCAGGTTGGTGTGTGGAGGATTGCATGTGTGGCGGACATAAAGAAAGAGAAAAAGAAAAACACAGTGTTAAAGTTATAGTGATATTATATATCATGTAACAACACTATTGTTATAATAATGTAGTAATGGAATATTAATTGATAATACACTAATACATATTGTAATACAATATAATAATAACCATGATCAGAATTCTTATTGTATTTATAGAGCGAATGGAGCAATGACGAGTGGCCAGTCTGGACCAAGGCGAATAAGTAAAACTAAAAGAGAGAGAGAGAGAGCTGTTGGCGCATCTGATTGGCGCAGATGGGACACGTGACCAGGCTTATTTGCATATGGGCAGGCAGGTGAGCGTGGGAGAAAATAGTTTCAGGTATGCCGCGAGCACACCGATCCCTGACCGCCGGATTATGAATTTAGGATCTTGCAGTGAACCAGCAGTCACCACAGGTCGCGTCGGTCATCTCACCTGGACCCTCAACTACCGGCAGGTAACTACCACCGAATTTATCACATTGATCCCTCAGAAGAAAGTAACAGTTAGCCCCTACAAGTCGAGCCTCAACCGAACCCTCCTCTGAGCGTCTTCACGGTCAGAGAGCCTGCAGCAGCTCCTTCTGTTCTCTCACCGATCCGCGGTTTCACCTGTCACTTCCCCGCACAGGCTCACCTGAGCTGAGAGGGCGCCGGTCGAACCGGTGGAGCAGGACGTGCTGCATTCCGCCAGTGCGCGCGCACACACACACACACACGCATCCGCCTGTGGCATTATAAAACTTTGGTGGGTGTGTCGGTGTCGGTGTGATTAGTTTATTGAGGATTTAGTTGAGAAATGAGTGCCTCTTCAGGGTCTGATTGAGGTAAACAGCCTGCACCCATAGGGTGAAAGCACATGTGGGGTGAGTTTAGTGGATTTCTTCATCAGAGTATTTTCGTACCTCTCCTTTCTACCAGGACTTATTCTGTAGTTTTGTTTTCCGTGTAAACGTATTACATGACAGGCACAGTAAAGGTGGAATTATTATTGTAGATTCTCAAGATTCTCTTTACTTTGCTCATTATTATAATTAATTGCAATAATAAAATGTAGAACATAGATTGTCATAGAACAATGATATCGCAGCTTCCTGCACAATATGACATCTTCAGTTCCCTTCAAAAGTCTAAAACCTAGATTTATTTAATTTAGTATTGCATAAAAGGAAGAAAAGCACAACATTAACACTTACATTTAAATAGTTTTGTTATGTTGTTATTGTTTTCTCTTGATAGATTAATAGACGAATTGTTTCAGCTCTAATGATTTTTCTTAATTGATTATGCTCACACAGTATTCTATAAATGAACATTTCTTCTCTTTCTACCTCCACTAGGTTCAATGTATGACGTTGTGTAGGGCCTTTTGCAATAATACTTCAACACCCTTGTAAAATGTAACACTATCCCATAAAACAGCTGGGAAAACCTGTGTGATACACACACAACAGACACATTGCTGTGTGTTAGAGAAGTGTTGACCCACCTTCAAGTCCATATTTTCTGGTGTAAATTGTGTATATATATCTCATATTTATATATATATGTTTAAAAAGAAAGAAAGATTATTATTTTGTCATATATTGTTGGGGCAACAATATATAACAAAATAATAAATTGCCATTTTCTTTATCAAGTAGAATTGGAGTGGTGCAGTTTTTCTACCACTTATCCAAAATGTTGCAGTTCTTATGTTGACTAAGTCATGGCAGTGAGTGCTCCTCCATCTGTCTTCCAGTCAGTGTTTGAGTTGATAAGATCTTTCTCTCTGGTATTCAAAGCCCTTAGAGAATTTGAAAGAAGCTTGACAGTGTCTTTTAACTGTGTCAACTTTGCATTTTGGAAACTATGATGGGTATTTTTTAGTATGTTATTTGATATTTTATAGACCAAATGATTATTCCATTCCATTACTCCATCAGACACATCATCTCCAGATGAATCAATGTGGAGAGCAATTGTTTGTTGCAGCCCTACATTATTTAGTCTCGCATATGGCTTTATGAATATACCAGAGATGGTGGTCTCTCCACTGTCTTTCTTATACAAGTGAACATTAACACACATATATATATATATATATATTATGTTGAACTGCCATTTTTCACAATTTGTGTTGTACAAACAAAATGTGAATTCACATAGACCTCTTAGATAAAGCTGGCGAACCTAAATTATCTTGCCTTTTCCTCGTGTACATAAAATCTTGGACAGTGATAAGACCCAATTATTTCTTTTTTCCCCAGATGCTCCACTGTCATTGCTGTGAATGGTGTGTTAGTCCAGATGTGAGAACACAGGCCACACAGACCTGATCAATACTTTAAATTCCTCAGGGAGGTGAGTTCACAATAATCATGTCATGAGCTCATCTGTGTGTAGCTGTTTGCTATTAAGGATATTTTGGTTTTGGTTCCCTGTGGGCTGTGGGCCGGATTAAAGACAGGACTGTCCAGTTATCCTGGTAGAGTTTAGCCGAAACTCGGTTAAATGAAAGCAGCGGTGGAGATTTATTATTCCAGTCCAGATTAACATGCCTTATGTGTTCAGCACTCATTACAATCAGAAACCAATGTTTTTCTTACACGTATTGCATGTTCTTATGTATGTCTTTGCATTTTTTTAACAAAATATCACAGGTTTTACATTGTGTACATTATTATTTTTATCGAGATATTGTTACTTTTATATTTAGTTTATCAAGAATATATGAATAATTAGTCTTTGTCAACTCACTTCAAAAACCTTTTTCGTGACTTAAAAAATCTAATTCATTTATCCAACACAGATTCCTGAGTAACATATTAACCTCCACTGCTCACTTTTAAGGCAAATGTACAACAGTTAATTTGTGCAAAGTAACAAGTAACTCCTTAAAAGGTTTAATTATGACAGTTTCATAGGTAATGCTTTTGATTTAAAAGTGGGAACTTTATTATTACAAACTAAAGCTTTACAGAGACGTTATTTGACATGCTGCAGGTAATCATCAATGGTTTTATCTGGAGTTATACATTTACTGACCCCTTTGACAGACTGTGTGCTATTCCCTCCCCAGCTGTCTGTCACTATGGCGATGCAGGTGGTAATCCCACCTACGGTGTCAGTGTTTGTGTCCACCGTGTTGTCCCTTCTCAGCTTGGCTCTGCTGCTGCTGCTGTGTGTCATCAGGAAGAAAAGAAGGATGGAGGGAATGTACAGACCCAGTGCCGAGGAGAGGAAACAGACAGGAGCAGCAGGATCTGAAAAACCTGGCCTGCCTCTACCGTTGCCCAAAGAAGAACGCCTCATATGATTGAACATATAAAAGTGGTGTGGCACACTTTCACCCCGCTGCCGCTGTATAAACCTGTGGATCTATACCTCCTGTTTCTTGATGTTGCTCTGCTGCTGACCTCTGGGATGATGCATGTTTGTGTTTTGCACCAGAAATATTCAGACACACTAAACACTGTTGGTGACAAGAAATAGACTGATCAAACTATTTATCACCTGTTTCACTGCATGGAAAGAGGAAATGCATGTACCTTATCTAAATAAGTCACTCCCTTTATTCTGCCACATAAGGGACATGAGGTGAAGTATGTTTTGTATTTGTACAGAGGTCAGTGTATTTTACTGTACTGTGTATTCTGTGTATTTATATAATAAACATATTGTGTTTGACACGTTTTCCGGTTATGAAGGGTATTGATTAAAACACCGATGATGACTGTGATGCACTTTTATGTGGAGCTCTGAGAATTTCTCAATTTCTTAAACATAAAAATCAATATGTATGGTACATAAGCTGTTCTGTTAATAAACCAGGAATGTGCACACTATGGTTCTCTTTCTGTCCCTTGTCTTGAAGCATTGAAGGCAAAGGCTCAAAATGTTTAGTTTATGCTGGTATAGGTTATTCAGACTTACATTAGGTGTAATAAGTTTTGGCTGGTAAGTAGCTGATGGAGTGCATATGTCTCTCACACTCACTTGCTGAAAATATGCATGTATCAATGACAAATGGGCCATCAACATTCATTGTCCTCACTGTTAGAGAATGTATTTCTTTATTTGAACCATGTTGCCTAGTTGCCATTCATTTTAAGTGCAATTCTCCAGTCATTTACCAGTCAAGTATATAATATTCAAACAAACACAAATCAGTTTAAATATTTGCTAAATCTTCACAAGGTGACTTTCCAGCCTGTTTCTGTCCCTGAGGATAAGTCTGGTGATGTTTCATGTTTTTCTTATTGTCAACAAATCCCATAGAAAGGCCTACTATTGAACAACATTTGCAGAAAAAGATTCACCAGCACACCAAATCTGTGGCTGAAAATAGTCCCCAATAAATGCATTATTGACTGAATTTAGATACTGAAGATCTTCAGAGACAAACAGGCTTGGGGCTGAGTCACAGACAATGCAGGAGAAATAGGAAAATATTAAGACAGTGAACACATTGCTCTTTTTTGTCATCAAACAGTAATACTAGAATGTCACCAGACTCCTGCTTTAAGCTTCAAATTTCTTCTTAAGTTCAGACACTTTGATTGAAGGCAGATCTTCCTCCTCGTGCCCCTCCGAGCGGTTGTTCTCTTCTGATATATGCGAGTCACATGGCGAGTGGTGAGTTTGTGCATTCTCCCTGCTCCGAAACATGTTGCACGGTCTCCCAGGTTCAGCAAATTCCTTGGCCCTGGACTTCACCGGAAAGCCCTGGCTATGCACCTGAGACTGGAAGCGTGCAGCAGTAGACAGCACTTTAGGAGGAGTGGGGGACTTTTTAATCTCCCACGACTCTTTTTTCACTGCTTCTTCACTCCTTTTTTCCTGACCTGCTGGAGGTTCAGCGTCAACAATGGGACTCTGAGGCCCTGAAGGTGTGAGATTGTCCTCCTGTCCTTGCTGTTGCTCTGCAGCATTGGGATAATGGGGACTCAGTTCTGTCAGTTTGTTTAAAGATCCTGTCACACCTTTACCTTCCTCCTCCTGGTTCTCTCTTTCCTCTTCTTCTCTTGTAACGCCCTTCAGAATGTCATATGTTCCCTCTTCTCTCTCATGTGCCCCAATTACCACTACATTCTGATTTTGCACATCTTCCTTTTTTTCTTTCAACTCTTCATCCTCCCGCTTCTCAGCCATTTCTTTCACAGGGTCCTCCTCTAAACTCACACTATTTTCCTGACAATCTTTCTTTCTCTCTTCCTCTGCCTTCACTTCCTTAAAGTTATTTCTGTCATCTATTTCTTCTTCTTGGTTCTTATTTGTTTCTACCTTCACTTCTTCCTGTTTCTCTCTGACTTCCCTTGGTCCGCTCTCTTGCTCCTCTAGGTCACACGCTGCCAGCAGACTGTCCGTCCCTTTCTCTTCTGGTACGCTGTTGTCCAGGCACAGCCAATCAGTGTCTTCCGTTAGGTCTGACAGCTCCTCTGTGGTTTCCAGGTTCCAGCTGTGCAGGCTTCCACTGCCGCTGATGGACAGAGACAGGTTCTCCTGGCTGGGGTTGGCTGGAAAACCGCGCTGGTAAATACAACATGAGATGTTAGACCAGAAATTACATTTGTGTGAGTATATGTGTGTGTCAGTTTCTCATCCTCTTACTTTCATGATATAGTCATGACTGTCTGGTCCAAACAGATCCAGGCTACGAGTGCCGTACAGCAGGCCGCGTTCATGGGAGCTCCGGGAGCTGAGAGTGTCAAAGATCTCCCCAAGCAGATCCATCTCCTCCGGGTCACACAGCGGTGACTCTTCCCCCTCTTCTGCATCCCTCTGGAGCTCAGAGTCAGGGTCGACCACAGGCCGAGACACAGCTCTGATGACAGAATGGCACAATCCAGAAAATTCATGCTAAGTATTCTCATCTTTTTCCTGGGTTTTCATAATTTTTCTCTCTTTGACTCTCACCCGTCCCATGTATTTCCAGTGTCCTTCATGTCTTCTTCGTCTCTGGGAGCCCTATGTTTGTGAACAGGCCGACGTGGACGTGACTGACATGAGGCAACGTAGAGTACCAAAGCAAAGCAAAACAACATTCCCCCAATAGAAGTGACAGACGTTGGGGTGAATCACAATAAAGCAACAGAAATGAGCAGAAAAGGTGCAAAACAGCACAAAGAAGCAGTATAGGACGGTCGAATAGTCAGATTAGATAATGATGAGGATATATGTCTGTTACAACTTTATTAAATATTTAAAATAGATCTTACCTTCCCAAAGTGTTGTGTGATTGGCAGGCGGTTCTGCAAGCAGTCAGATTGGGCACGCCGGTGTGACACTGAGCCTCCTCTCTGAAGGCTGTGTTCTTCATTGTGAGTCTGCATTACACACACACAAAAGAAAAGTATTACAGTAAAACCACAGCAGAATTTGGATCAATCGAAGCACGTACCCACACAAATGCTGACCCACCTTGTGCATCAGCAGGTTTTTCAACCCAGACTTGGCAAGACCTTTTGCCTGAGAGAGAGCAAAAAGATTATAAAGGGAGACATTTTATTAATGCAGACTGAATTCACTTGCACTTTTCCTAACGCCTCGATTTATACACACCTTTATGTTTGCTTTGGACTTCATGTTAAGAATGAGCGCTCCTCCACCCTTCTGTTAAAAGTATGAATGCATCAGTGTTGCACTCTTTCAAAAACATGGGAACAAATTTGAAACTGTTACATTAAAGATTAAAGGAATTTACCTTTAAATTACCAACTAACTGTTGATAAGATTTGCTTCTCCCTATAAATAGACAGAGAAACAAAGAAAAGCATAAGCATAAGTGAGTAGGAAATTTGACACACAAACACACACACACACACACACACACCTACATACACACATACATACCTGCAGTTGTTTCACAATTTAGGATCTCCTCCTCAAAGAGGTCATCTGGTTCCTTCCCTTTGTTCAGAATATCAAGGCGGCCATCAATGAACTAAAATAACATACATTTAGTCATTAAATTATTTGATCAACATATGATGACATAGTCCTGCTGATTCCACCACAGCTTTACTGCTGAAATTATTAACCACCATACTGTGGTTTGGTTATTTTTTCTGTTTGAGATTTAAATTTTTCATTCATTCAAGCTAGTTGCATTGTGTTCAATTTGCACAATAACTTGTGAGTGAAAAGAGCAAACGTTTGAGCCATCACACGCACATTACATTTACTGTATACAAAGGTGCATATCCTTTTTTCTGTGTGCTAGGTTATTCTACAATATCGTACAGTCAATGTCAACAAAAAGGTAGAACAAAAGATTTGTAAGATTTAGATTTGTAATGGATATAAGAAATGCCGCCAGAGTCAGGGTGGAAAAAAATGGCCAGTACATAGACCACATGTTGATAAAACAACTTTTCATTTTGGTAGCATTGGCCAATCCACTGACACAATAACTAGGTTTTGAAGCATGAATGAAATGTTTTGGGTAATAGCTTTTGCAGACCCCCAATAGGGTTGTGATGCCCCATGAAACAGCTGACAGTGATAATTTAGAGAATGTTTAGACTGCTTCAAACTGTAATTCTCTGCCCAACAAGTCCTTATGATTGCAAATCTGTCCAGCAGATGGCAGTAAACAACAAGAGGCACAATGTGTACCTGTTTGAAGAACTGTAAATGAATGGCACTCTGTAGGAAGTGCCTCATACTGGAAGACTTGTGATCTAGAAACAGCTCCTCACTGAACCACATTTCACCCTCCTGCAAAGAAAGATCGAAAGAGTGAGGCCGATTGAAACAACCGAATAAAAATGCAGAGAACATTGTAAATCATTAAATCAGTTTTTCAAGTAGATGTAAAAGTGCAAACAATACATTTGAACAAGCTAGTAATTATTTACCGCGCTGTTGTCATTCTTATTATCAAAAATAACCTGACCTTCTGACCCTGCAGGGCATCCCTGTAGCCTCCAAACAGCAGAGCCTGCGCTTTCAGGAAGGCCCTTGAGACGCCGCAACCAGGAGATACCGCCTGACGCTTCAAACACACCTTCAGCCCAGCCATCTGGAGACATATATACATATATATATACATTTATACAGACACATATATACACACACACACCACACTACATATGTTGTTTCTAAACCATTATCTAACATGTAATGTACTATATATCACACTGCGTCAGTAAACACCCATAATTAAAGCCCTTCCTCATTCTTGTACCACTGGAAATTTAAATTTTTTTTTTTATAGAACTTCTTGGACTGAGAAATATTTCTGCTTCACTCCACGTACTGAATTACACATTCTCTTCTTCTTTTAAACTTCTTTTAATCGTCATTGAACGTAATCCAGTTTACAGAATGAGCCCATTTTTCGCTGAATGCTCCACGATCAGTTCTCATTCCCTGACTCTGAATTCTTTGGTGAGCTCACCAGAGCCATATGGTGGCACCACTGTACTTATTGTATTGTTACTGTGTTGTAATTGTGGCCGTGTGCTTTCTAGGTGGTTATATGTTTCGTTTCCAATCGACTGTGGCTGATATTGAATCTGGGTCTATTTTTAAGGCTCTAAAACATTATGTTAAAACTGAACATAGCAGCAGGAACCTACTGTGTGTGTCTACATAGCAGTGGGCAGTAAGAGCGCCAAGTGACTGATGTGTACAACATTCTCACCCATTGTGGTCCATGCCACCAGTGATAAATACATATATTTTCCCTTTTAAAAATGTATATTTAGTAGACAGTTTTCTTCTTGGCTGACGTCACGTTGCTGTGATTTACATGCTGCAGTATTCATGAAGACGATCATTAAAGTCTTAGTTATTGTCTTGATGTGATGTAATTTACGTAATGCATGCATGTGTGTTTGTTCATTGAAGACCACCGCACCCTCTATTCAAAAGATGTCCCCTGTATGTGTGTGTGTCCAACTTCAGGTCATAATGGCTGCTGTGTCATGGAAACATTTTTTACATTTTGATGGAACTTCAGTGATCACAAATTTAATATGAATGCATGAATACAAATGTGCTGGCTGTTGTTTTCGACGTAGCAGACTATATGAAAAGTATAGTTTGGAGTTTTGGAGCAGAATAAGACTCCACATGATAATCTGTTGAGCAGCTACTGTGCAGTCAGTTGATCGTGGACTTTTCCGAGCCGGGTCATTAGCGAGCGGGTTAACAGGCTGCAGTCTGGTTCGGGATTTTATCAGGATATCAACCTCGGCTCAGGTTAAAACAATAAGGCTTCGTTGAGGTCTGATCGATCCCTCACAAGGTCACACGTTACATGAAAGGAGGCAGAGACGAGAGTCAGGAAGTGACTCGTGTGTTTGTTGTGGTAAACAAACAGTGCTGAGACTGACAAATATCCCCACTTATGAATAAAACATGCGGAAGAGGAGAATGCACAAAAAGAGTCTGTCACCTGTCAAACACAGGGACGGAGGAGGGGGAGACCGGTGGGAGAGGAGGGGACGAAAGGTGAAGGAGAAGAAAGAAGGGAGGGCAGCTGATGGAAGGAAACATGGAGGGAGGGAATGAGAGAAAGTGAAATAGGCAGGAAGGAAAGATGGGAGGGTGAGGGAGAGATGGGAGTAAAGGTCTGAATACTGGATGGATGGATGGTAGATTAATGATGGATGATATATAAATAGATGGATGGATGGATGGATGGATGATGGAGGGAGGAAGGGATGGATGGATGATGGATGGAGAGAGGAATGGATGAGGGATGGATGGATGGTAGATTAATGGATGGATGGAGGGAGGGATGGAGGGATGGATGGATGATATATGAATGGATGGATGGAGGATGGATGGA